CTGTCTTCTTTTATTTCGTGAAGTAGCGTTTTGTAGTTTTCTTTGTACAAGTCCTTTACCTCCTTAGTTAAGCTGATTCCGAGGTACTTGATTTTTTGAGGCATGATTGTGAATGGTATTGCTTTATTCATGTCACTTTCTTCTATCTCATTATTTGTGTATAGGAAAGCCATGGACTTCTGGGTATTGATTTTATAGTCTGCAACTTTACTATACAAGTCTATTGTTTCTAGGAGTCTCTTGGTAGAGGCTTTAGGGTTCTCTAAATGTAGTGTCATATCATCTGCAAATAGTGAGAGGTTGATTTCTTCCTTTCGTATTTGGATGCCTTTAATATCTTTTTCTTGCCTAACCGCTTTGGCAAATACTTCCAGTACTATATTGAAAAGAAGTGGTGAGGGTGGGCAACTGTAAAAAACTATGCACGCAGAATGTTGTGTGTTCGCATGCTCTCTGGATGGCTCTATCACACCGCCCACATTCGGTGCCCTAGAGCCGCTGTGTGTGGCCTGGATCAGGATGGCTGTTGGCCAAGGGCAGACGAAGGAAAAGACAAGGGCCAACCAGTTGATCTTAATAGCAGTTTATTACAAGGAAGTTTATCCCATAGAAGAAATTTATGTTATGGAGGGCCTAGGTTCTCTCAAGCACATGTTCCCCTTGCTAGTCTCTCCATGGTCCATCTTGCAGCCCTTCTCTCTGTCTGTCTCTCTCTCTGTCTCTGTCTCTTCTGTCTCTGTCTCTGTCCCCCCCCCCCCCCCAGCTCCCTTGTAGCTCCAACTTCCTTGCAGTGTGGGCTGACACTCCACCCAGTCAGGTAACCAAATCAACATAAGAAAACCCTTCCTGAGGTCCTACCTAAAAGGTATTCTAAAGCCCTTCCTGACTGCCCCAGGCAGTCTTTTCCTCAGTCCAATAAACTATCAATAAACTATCAACTATCAACTATTCCTGAGGCTATGCAGGAAGGACAGAACAGTGTTATCCTACAGGCAACCTTGTCTTGTCCCTGAATTTAGAGGAAAGGCTCTTATTTCCCATTGAGGATAATGCTTGCTATGGGCTTGTGGTAGATGGCTTTGACTTTAGTGAGGAAAGTTCCTTCAAAACCCATTTTGATGAGAGTTTTCATCATAAATGGGTGCTGGATCTTGTCAAATTCTTTCTCTGCATCTATTAAAATGATCATATGGTTTTTATCTTTTCTTTTGTTGATATGATGGATTTTTTTTGTTTGATTTCCGAACATTAAACCATCCTTGCATCCCTAGGATGAATCCCACTTGGTCTTTTTGAAAAGCATTTCTAGTGATTTGTAGAAACATCTGATAAAGAAGTCTGCTCAAGTTTTAGGTCCATAGTTAGGAAAATATCATCTGTCTGGCCACTGATGAAATGAAAGTACGGACAGTGACCAATGCATCAGCTCGAAGAACACACGGAAGACAGTGGTCTGTAGTTTAGGACGTGATGGTAACAGGGGGTCAGTCACACTGATTCTTTTTATTGTAGGATGATTTCCAGAGCTGGATGCAGTGGGTTTTTTTGGATGAAATGGAATCCATTCCAATTTCTTGAAGGATCCTCAAGGGCTAGATTATTTTACTCATTTTACTTTTTAATTGAAGAAACATTTATAGCACTGTATGTTTCATGCGTGTTCCACTGATCATCACTGCCTGAATATTAAGTTAAGCACCGGAAGACCAGTTCTGACTTTTCGCCTAGCTACCCACCCTTCCCCATTCCTTTTTGCTAACCAGTAGTTTTATCTATAGTCTAATTTTTTTTTGTTTCAAGTGAAATAATTATGTTTGGATGTTAGTCTTTCTCTGATTCATTTCACTAAACATGACTTCCTAGTTGCATTCAGGCTGTTAAATGATAGGATTTAATCTTTTATATGATTGTGTGTGTCTGTGTATATATACGTGTATGTATAAATCTATGTATATTACATCTTTTAAAAATATATTTTGTGATTATGGTTTATGTAGTAGGATCGCAGTAGTGTTTAAGTGTGTAGTATTAGGGTACAGAGTTGCTGCATGTCCCTGCTAGTGAGATGCCTGTGACCCTCTACTCCTGTCCCTGTCACCTCTCATACAGTCTTCCTTCCTCTAGCCCTTACCACAACTGGGTGTTGATTGATAGTTTTGGTGCACACAGTGACCTCACTGTGCCACCGCCAGTGTGCCCTAGAGCACACTGTCACTTCCGGTTCACCTCATCATTGTCACCAACCTGCAGAGCTTGGGTCTGTGATCAGTCCACAAGGATTATTACCTGTGATCCTTGTCTTGGGTAGCCTCATCTTGTAAAGTTTTGGGGTCTTTTTGTTTGTTTCTGTTTTCTGGGGTGACACCCAGTGAATCTCAGGGGTGACTCTTGTCTCTGCACACAGGAATCACTCCTGAGATGCTCAGGTGACTCTAGGGGGTGTCAGGGATGGAACCCAGGTCGGCCTGTGCAAGGCAGTTTCCCCATCCATTGCACTGTCTCTCCAGCCCCCTTGTAAAGTTTTAGCTTTTCACACCACCAGGCAATTCGTATTGCAGCAGCATGCCTTATGAGGTCATCAGCTGTTTGAGTCTCCCTCCAGGTCTAGTGTCCTGTCAGTTTGTACAGGAAGACACTGCAAATACTGCAGTCCTCCCGGCACTGCTCTGTCCATGAGAGACTGAGACACAGTCTCGTGACATTCACAAGAGTTAAGGCACCTGCGTTCTGTGGGACCAACCCCAAAAAATCCTTGACACCACACACTGTCCCCAGAACATGGCTAGGGGTTACTCCCGAGCCCATGTCCAGGAGCAGCCCCTGGAGAGTGCCGGGTGCAGGCCCCAACCAAAAAGAAACACAAATGCCCTGTTCTGAGAATCCGAACACTTGCTTCTCTGTATTATCACTGTGTCTGTGGTCTGGAGGCAGCAGCCAGACAGGGCCAGGGGGCAGAGGGGCAGCAGGCAGCCTGGGAGGGAGAGGCCAGCAGCATGCATAGCGGGCACTGATGGAGCCAGGGGTGTGGTGCAGTCTCTGGGGTGGCTCGTTGATCTGATGCTGCTAGAGCCACCATCACTCATGCCAGATAGTATGTTCTGTTACTGTGGCAGGCAGTCAAACCGCAAGGAAGCTTGGTGCTAATCATCCCTACTTCACTTAGCTCTGAGGTTATCAGCCCAGGAAGCAGGAGTTGTCAAGGACTTGGCCTGCTGTTATTTCTGTGTTTCTGCTTAAATATCAGTGTGGGCCGTGCAGTGTGTCACGCCCGTGCAGTCTTGCGTGGGACTGGCTTGGAGTGCTGACAAGGCAACCACATCCGCCTGTTGTCACACCCACACCCACCGGGACCAGACACAGACACATACAGGCAGCAGCCTCCTGAAATTGGCAGCCAGACAATTCTGAATTTCTTTCACAGTCTGGTGAACAAAATGTGTGTGGGAGTTGTGCTGCTGTTGAGGCCTGTCAGAGCCCTCTGGGGGACCCAGAGTCCCCCACAATAAAAGCAAACCTTAGCAACGGGATGGCTTTGGCATTGCCAATGCATTTTTCTTAATTATGTTAATTAAGCATTAAAAGGAAGATTTTCTAGGAATAATGTGTCTATAGGTGAGAACGTTTCTTGGCTCCAGATATGGTTTCCTAAAGAGCACATCTCGCTGAGTCGTTGCTCCGAGTGCAGGATGCCGACACTCCATTGCCTGTTTTAGGGGACACCATCTGGGAAGATGCGACGGGAAAGCCACTGTGCCCCTTCGCCTGAGGGTGGTTTCCTTCCTTTACTCATGTTGGCAGTTTGCACTGCCCTTGCCCATCTGTGGAGTGGACACAGCCTCCTGTGCACTTGAGAGTGGCCTTCTGACCCCACAGCCTCCCTCCAGGGAGCTAGGCATCACCCTCCATCTCACTCCTCAGCATTCCAAGTACCTATCATATTCTCATTAAGTTTTTTAGATCATTTTCTAGGCTCTAGCCCCAAGCCATAATGCTATACTGAAAGGGAGCTCTCACATTCCTTCCCTCCTTTGTTACAGTTTGGCAGAAAAATACTACCTCTAGTCCTAGTCCATGTGGCTAGACCCAGCTAACCATCTGCTTTCACAGCTCTGATGTAACAAAAACATGAAAGGTTGGGGACCAGAGCAGAGAACAATGGGAAGGATGTCTGCCTTGCAGTCAGCCAGCCTGGACTTGATCCCTGGCATAGCAAATTGTTCCCCCAAACACTGCCAGTGTTGATCCCTGAGCACAGAGCCAGGGTAAGTTCTGAACAAAACTGGGTGTAACCCCAAAACCAAAACCAAACCAAAGAAGAAAAGAAAACCCATGAAAGGTCACTCTATACTAAACCACAAAATAATGTCCTGGGTGAGAAGATGCTCCATCTGCACAAAGAGGAGCAGGACTAAGGCTCAGCCTTGTAGACACAGAGACCTTTCAGTCTGCATTCCCCAACCAGCCAAGGCCAGGTTCAGAATAGAACTCTGTCCTGTCAGTGCACATGCTGTAGAGCCTCCTGGCTCCTGTGCCCCACTCCCAGCCCTAGTTCCTCCCACTTCACCATCTGCCCTGGTCTGCTCCCCGCACATGACCAGACACACATGCAAGGGTGTGTGGTACATCAGCAAATATAGATCTCAAGGTTGCATAACCCTGCATCTTCTGCCATACTCTGCTCAAATTTCATTTCTCTCTTCTGCTCCCTCAGTGTAGCTCCCTTTGAAGTAAGGCCAGGATCCTCATAGTGGGGATATAACTCTTCTGCCTAGTTTGAGCAGAATCATCTTGTTCCCGCATAGCATATTAGCATGTTAAAGTTAATAGCATTAATTTTATGTATCCTAAGTATAGGCCACTATAACTTATGACAAGAATTGTCAGTGTTACACTTTGATTCGGGAAAAGTGAATGAATTTATTTTTTACCTAATGCTTCTTATTAAAATGTGGGTGATGGATTGATAGTCCAATTTAACAAAAGTTTTCCTCTTCCTGCAGCACCTGAAATCCTGAGAGGCTGTGCCTATGGGCCCGAGGTGGACATGTGGTCTGTGGGGGTGATCACCTACATCCTGTAAGTGGAGAAAGCCTTCATAATGTCTCCTTGCTGTGCTATTTCTAGGGACCATAATTGCCATTAAGACAAGATTGCTTTTCAACTCTGCAATTTTATGTGATATATCTAATGTACTTACAGCATTTTTTTGGCAGGAGCTGCTTCTGTTCTGTAATTTTCGTTGGGCCATCACTGTTTCCCATGCTTTGCTACATATCGTCCTGCTGGGTGGTGTACCATTTTGGGAAAAACAGGTTATTATTTAATGGTAATAAGAATTGAAGTTCAACGATCAAACTTGTTCTTATTTATTTACATCACACCAGAATAATTGTCCTGTCAATTATTTTTAAAGGGTAAATGGCTAGCCTCTTAATGGATAGATTTATGATCTAGAACATTCTCAGGGTACTTTGTCTATCAAATTGTCTCCCATTTGTCTTTGGCTGTCAAAGATCAAAGTTTTAAACCAAAAACTAAAAAAACCATAGGAAAAAATTGGGTGCTGAATAGAAAGTCCACTGGGTGCTGGAGAGAGAACACCATGGGCTGGGTGCTGGAGAGAGAGAGAGAACCCATGGGTTGGGTATTGGAGAGAGAGAGAGCCCATGGGCTGGGTGCTTGCTGCATACACAAAAGGCCCAAGCTCGACCACACACACTGCCTGGTCTCCTGAACACAGCTCGGAAGCAGCCCTGAGTGCAGAGGGGAGCAGCAGCTGAGCACTGTGGGTTTTCATTGCAAGCCGCCAGAAGGAGGATGTTTGCTGACAGATTTGGTCTTAGTCCATCTCCACACAAACCCACTCCTTGTCCTGTGCAGCGCATGCCCTGGCCATCCCAGTTCCTGGTCCCTAATGATCCCCGAGTCTACAGTATATGAGCATGGGACAGATGGGGTCTGGCAGTGCCATGGCAGCCCATGCGCCCCCTCCTCTTGGGCCACTGTCCTCTTCTTCCCCTCCTCCCACATGCTGGTACTGAGACTGTGGGGAGATGATGGGGAAATAGTGAAACATCACCAAGGCAACTGTTTACACAGCTGAGGTACACAATCACTGAAGAGCCACTGCAGATTTTATGACAACTATTTTTGCAAAACTGTGAAGTTCAACCCTTATCTAAAGGCTTTTTAAAACAGAACATACATGTTAAAATTCATTTATCACTAGATTGTCTTTGGTCCAAGGTTAGGATGGTGGACAAAACATCAATGTAAATTTATGGTGTGGTAAAAACATGACTGGAACAATAGTTATAGCAATAAGAGGGCGGGGTTCTTGCTTGCATACAGCTGGTTTGATCCCAGAATCCTTTATGGCTCCCAAGCCTGCCAGGAGTCATCCCTGAGTAGCCAGGAGGAACCCTTGAGCACCACCTGGTGTGACCAAGCCCCAGATCCCCCAAATGGCAAACATTAAGCAGTAAAACACTGGTAATTCTTGAGCACTTGTCTTACTGGTTGCTTCTGTTCACTCATCTTAAGTTTCCAAAGAGAGTCCCTAGTGCCTTACAGGGGTAAGGCCATGTCCAAGAAAGTGAACCCAACAGCCTCACACTTTGCTGAGTATGAAGAAGGACATTTTGGGATACCTTGCAGCCCTCAAGGCAGACTGAACACCACAGGAGGCCACCAAGCACCGCTGTGAGTGGTCCAAAAGCAAAACAAAACAAAAGGCTGGCTGGCTGACAGAAATTTTAGTTCTGTCACTCTGAAATCTAAACAGGAATGGGATGTAAATATTTCCATAGGGAAGTTCAAAATTGAGTCTAAATTAAAATGGCTGGAAACATTTTCTTTGCACCTTTTACAGTATTTATTCTCAAATTCTCAACTCTTCCAACTTTTCAATAAATTGGTGTTGTTTTCTTAATACCTATTGAAAACAAAATCTGAAAACTTGTTGTCATAGTGCCTATAACTGTTGGTGATCATTGCTTTTGCTTTAAATCATAAATATATTATTATAACATTTTGTAGCAATCCTGAATTGCTTTGTGTATTTATTATTATCTCCAAAATATGTGAGTTCATGTTTACTCAATCAAAAACGAGTTGCAGGGGCCCAGTTGAAGGGGTGGAGCAGTAGCTCAGGAATTAATCTGGAACTCTAAATGCCCCAGAGCCCTGAAGCCTACAGAGCACTCCAGGGAAGGCTTGGAGCCCCCTCCCCCACGGTGGTCCTGCCCAGCCCAGGGGCTGAGATGCCTATGTGGCTGCTGTGGACCAGGATGGGGCCCACATGGCCTTGAGCCTGGGAGCCCACCTCCAGGAAGGTGATCTTAACAGCTCCACACTTGTGCTGAATATGAAGGAAGGACAGCTCTGGATTTCTGTGAAAACTTGTAAAATGTGCTTAAGCTTTAAAGATTTTTTAAATTTCTGTTTTATCCCTTTAGACTTTGTGGATTCGAGCCATTCTATGATGAAAGAGGTGACCAATTCATGTTCAGAAGAATCCTGAATTGTGAATATTATTTTATCTCCCCTTGGTGGGATGAAGTATCTCTAAATGCCAAGGACTTGGTAAGTGCAAATAAAAGAAATTCAATAGAATTACATAAAGTTATCTACATTTAGTTTTAACTAACTGATGGACAGAGTAATTTCTGGTGGGGGTTTGTGTAAACACACAAAAAGGACGGGCAAAGGGACTGCAGCGGCCTATCTCTCCCGCCACCCGCGTTCAGTAGTCTCAGGCAATATCTTTTCTCCAGGGAGGTCGATGGTGATAGTCAGGCGAAGGAAGGAAACGAGGGCCAGGCTGGATAGTCTTAGTAGCAGTTTATTACATGGAAGAAATGTATGTCATGGATGCCCTGTTCTCTCAGCTTCTGTCCCCATTCTCTCAGACCTGTCTCTTCGGTTCTCTCAGCACATCTTCCCAGGTTCTCTAAAGCACTTGTCCCCACAGAGAGCCCTGAAATCTCCCTTATATAGATCATAGTACCTCTAAAGGGTGCAATACAGTGATGTTATCAAAAGAAGTTACAGAAAGAACATTGAGGTGGCAAAACACACATTGTTTCTTTACATCCACAGGCCAGTAATCTTGGCCTCAGGAAAGAAGATACAAAACCAAGGCTGAAACCTTTCACAAGCACTTTCACAGCTACAAGCACTTGGATTTGCATCCCAAAGACCAGTCTGCTAGAGCTTGGAATCTACATCCCAAAGTCAAGTATCTGAGCTTTGCATCCCAAAGACTAGCCTGGATAGAGCTGGGAATCTACATCCCAAAGATCAGGCCTGGCTAGCACCTGAGATTACTGAGAGAAAAGGGAAGCTGCCTCTTACAATATACTGAAATTATCTAGTGAAGGCAGTTTGAAGGGGAGAAATGTTCAGTCTCATCCAAGCTAGTCAGGACACATGGGAAATCTGCTTCTAGGACAGATTCTCATTTAGCAGATCAACCCACCCCAGAACAGAATTCCCTGGGTGTGTTTCTCCTTTCCTTGTCCAACCAACATATAAGCATACATAATATAAATCATTTTGTATGGACAGAGTAAGAAATACTTTAAGCTTATAGAATTGCTCTCCTAGAGCCATCTCAATCTCAGACTACAGTGCTCAGGCCAGATAGTCTTTCCTATTCCTAGCAGACCAAGATGACTGCCCTCCGACATCCTGATGGATCCATCACATCCTCCAGAACAGCAATAGAGAAGATTATCCATGACTTCTACTCAAATCTCTTCGATAGCCATGTCCACTTGCCGACATACCAAATTCCACAGGATGGATATGTCGTTCCCAATGTTCTCCCTTCCGAAATCCGACACACCATTTCGTCAGTAAAGAAAAGAACAGCACCTGGCCCAGACAAGGTCAGACCTGAACACCTGAAGAACCTGCCGTCAGTACTAATACACTGGCTCGGCTCTTCACTCGCTACCTGTCTGAATGCAAGGTTCCGTCCCAATGGAAAACCAGCAGGACCATACTACTGTTCAAGAAGGGAGACATCCATGACATTGGCAACTATTGCCCGATTTGCCTATTGTCTGTCATCTACAAGTTGTTCACTCGAGTCCTCCTAAATAGGATTGGCAGAACACTAGATGAAGGACAACCATGCGAGCAAGCCGGGTTCCGCAAAAGATTCAGCACCATCGACCATATCCACATGATAACCAAGCTCATTGAGGTTTCTCGAGAGTTCAAGATGCCACTCTGTTTAACGTTCATTGATTTAAAGAAGGCCTTTGATTCTGTTGAGACTGAAGCGGTCATTGAAGCCCTAGCTAATCAGGGCATTCAGGCCCAATACATCAAGATCCTCCGTGAGCTGTATTGTGGATTCACTACCAGGATCTCACCATTCTACAAGAGAGTGATCATCAACGTAAAGAGAGGGGTGCGGCAGGGTGATACCATTTCACCGAAACTCTTCAGTGCCACCCTCGAGAACATCATGCGATGACTGGAATGGGAAGGAATGGGAGTGAAGATAGATGGTCGGCAACTACACCACCTCCGCTTTGCTGATGACATTGTTTTAATAACACCAAACATCAGCCAAGCGGCACAAATGCTGGCCAACTTTGACCGTGAGTGTGGAAAGGTAGGACTAGAGCTGAATCTTATGAAGACAATGTTTATGAGAAACAGCCTTGTTCCTGATGCCCCTTTTGCTCTCAATGGAACAACCATCTCCGAATGCAACAGCTATGTGTACCTAGGTCGAGAAGTCAACATGACAAATGACCTGGCACCCGAGCTGCGCAGGAGGAAGAGAGTGGCTTGGAATGCTTTCAGGAACGTCGAAGAAATAGCTAAGAGGACGAAGAACCTCCAGCTCCGGGCACATCTTTTTGATTCCACTGTTCTTCCTGCATTAACATATGCCTCAGAGACCTGGGCCCTACGTAAACAGGATGAGAATGCTATTCGAGTCTCCCAAAGAGGAATTGAAAGAGCTATGCTTGGAATATCACGTTTCACTCAAATGAGAGAATGAATCCGGAGTTCCGACATCCATCGACGATCAAGAATCAGGGACGCTGTCTCGTTTGCCAAGGTATCAAAAATCAGATGGGCTGGTCACGTAATGAGTTTTAAAGAAGACCGCTGGACTAGAGCTGTTACAGACTGGATCCCACGGGATGTGAAAAGACCGCATAGCCGCCCACCTACCAGATGGTCAGACTTCTTCATCAAGATCATGAACAATCGGTTTGAGGCTCTTCATGTTCCCAGAGTGAACAGATGCCATTGGGCTACACTAGCACGCGACAGGGACAAATGGAGACGTTATGGCACCCACTCGAGCAAATCGACGAATAATGGGAAGTTAAGTGATTATTAAGTGATTCCTAGCAGGGTCCTAGTCTCATCATTACTTTTGGATCATGACAGCATTTGCTCTTAACCTATAGTTAACTATAGTTAAGTTAACTATAGTTAAATAGTTAAGAATCATGGCACCTTGGTTTGGCCCATTTCGATGCCAGGGTAGCACATAACTTACTGACTTGCCCTGGTTCCATCCAGTCCCACGTCGGGACCCTGCTTTGGGGGGCACTAGGAAGGAGGGCAACTGAAGCTTAAGTTGAGAAAGCAGATGCCCAGGAGTGAATAATATTCAAAGCCAATTAACTCCTAAGTTACAAAGCATAATATTAATTATCTTCCTGTATCTATACAGAAAGGGCATTGCATTAAAGTAAGCTATTCAAAAGACATAAGGAGAGGAGAAAGGCAATATTAACTTACAGTATAAGTTAAGTGTCCTAGAAGGATCCGACTTTACAAATTGGTTGGGGAAGAGAGCAGCACAAAGCAGTAGTTACAGACAAATAAAGTAATGGGAATGACTCCAGAGCACTGTGATGGGTGCAACCTGATAAACCTTGTTAGGATGGTGATTGTGATCTCCCTTTAACGACAGAGAGACTCCAGAGACTGCAAACAGCAAGCAAGGTTTATTGTGAGACTGGCTAGCCAGGGTCGAGCCTCCTACACAGACACGCAGGTCAGATAGGTGAGGCAAGACCCTGAACTTCTTCAAAGGGGATCTTATATAGGCCTTCACTGGCCATTACAGCAAAGCCCACGCATTTTATAGACAATAGATTTGTAACAACATATACTTTCTTAACCTGTCACTATCACTATTACTGTCACTATCCTCCCGTTGTTCATCGATTTGCTCGAGCGGGCCCAGTAACGTCTCCATTGGAGACTTTGTTGTTACTGTGTTTGGCATATCGAATACATCACGGGTAGGGGTAGCTGCCAGGCTCTGCCGTGCAGGCGAGATACTCTCAGTAGCTTGCCGGGCTCTCCAAGAGGGGCAGAGGAATCGAACTTGAGTGGTCTAAGGCACTAGACTCAAGTTCCTATTTTCTTAACCAGTCCATTTAAAAGTACATCATTCCTTAGCCTATAGATTCAAAGATCAGCATTTACGTACATAGGCATTGTGGCTAGTGGGCATCTGGTAACTCGGACATTTGGTTATCTTCTTTGTTCCCTTTGATTCTCAACATATGTCTCCTGCATTCTGGTGGAGGTGGATAAGGGAAAAGTTCCTAACAGAGGTAACAGATAAGGAAGGGCCAACAAATGGTTTCCAAATTTACATCCCAATAAGGAAGGGCCATGGTTTCACTTTAAAGCTCTACTAGGGAGGGGCCAGGAAAGGGAGAGTTACTAATTAGTAGAGTTTTAATCTGGAATCTCCCTCGGGGTCCCAAGGGACCTTACAACCTAAGTTCCTTGTACTCCAACAGGGATTCTATAGCTAGCAATGCTCAGGAGTTTAGGAAGCTCTTATGACAGTGCTCTTGTGTCCATGCAGTGCCAGGAATACAACCGTGGCCTCCTGCATGCAGACCTTGTGCTCAACCTATGGTGAGCTATCTCTCAAACCTGAAAAATTATTTCATATTTGTTTATTATAAAGTATTATATTCCTTCTTATTGAACTTTTAACCAAACAGTTGATACTAAGACACTTCCCTTATTAATAATGACAATGATACATTTATGTTAACAATCTCAGCATCACAAATTACAAATGATTGCAGCAAGAGCCCCAGCTTCAGTCCCCAGCACAGAGCATGACCTGGAGTGAATCCTGAATACCGAGCCCATAGCAACACTGGGTGACTCCCAAACAGAGAATCACTGCGCCATTAATGAGCTCTGACTTCCTCGTCGCTATAGAGCCTGGCTGATGAGGACAGATATTATTGGTGAATCCAAACAAAATTTTCCAGAATTTTGTTGAAATATGATCTGCCATTACTAGATTTGGTTATGCTTTGAATAAACCAATATTGCTCCCTGACATTCCATTCATATGATATTATGGTAATAATATTATGGTAAGTATTATGGTCAGCTGGCATTACACACAAGTAACAGTAGCTAGCAGTGCTTTGTGTTGCTTGTTTTCAGGGTGTCTCACCTCAGTGAATATTAACGTTTCTTTGTCTTCAGGAAGAAAGTGCCCCTAGGGCATGGCTCACTTAGTGTACACTAAGGGGATGTACTATGAGGCAAACACTTGGCATCAGTCCTCCAGAGAATAAAACATGTTAGAAAAACCAGAAGACTGAGTTTTGAATCTCTAATGGTTGAATCTCCAAGGGATCTTAGGAGCCCTAAGATCAATAGATAAGATTGTCCCACATACAAGGTTGTGGCATGAGAGAGTGTATTGCCTCTGCCATCACACAGTTTCCTGAAGAATGACATTCATGATCAAGCATCCAGGACTCAGACCCCTTAGCCATTGTTCTCTTGCCCCCAAACTTCCTGACTTATTATCAGATCCTTTCATTAAATAGATCGATCCCTTATGAGCCATGTTTGTGCCCAAGTGAAGAGAGCATTTGGGTAGAGCATTTGCCTTGCTTGCAGCTCACCCAGGTTCAATCATCGGTATTGCTTATGATCCTCTGAGCACCACTGGGAGTAATTCCTTAGTGCAGAGCCAGGAGTAACTCCAGGGCATCGCCAGATGTGGCCCACAAAACAAAACAAAACAAAAACAAAGAGAAGGGGCTGGAGCAATAGTACAGCAGGCAGAGCATTTGCCTTGCACAAGGCTGACCTGGGTTCGATCCCTGGCATCCCATATGGTCCCCCAAGCACTGCCAAGAGTAATTCCTGAGTGCATGAGCCAGGAGTAACCCCTGTACATGGCCAGGTATGACCCAAAAAGCACAAAAAAGAAAAAAAGAAAAAAAGATGAAAAGAAATATGCCGTGTGTATTTGCTTGGGTCTGTCATCTCAGCTTCTCCCCAATTCAGGCCCTGCACTTTCCCATCTCCTACATCCATCTCCTTGTCTCAGCCATCCCGGATCACTGGGTTATCACCACAACAACCCAATGGGACTCCTGGTCCCTTGGGGTGCCCTGCTCAAGTGCTCCTTGCACAAGGGCCTTCTAGTGTCAAGGCATGTCATTCTCCTGCTTGAGAGCCCAGGCTGAGATTGTGTCCACTGAGGTATGTCCAATGCTGGCTCTGGAGCCTGTCTCCCCAGCACCCCATACACACCATGTCCTCTGGCCCCTTTTCCCATGTACTGGGCTTCACTTCCCTGTCAGCTACTTCACTCTGCTGCTCTATCAAATTCTCTTCCTTCCTCCACCAGTTACATGCACACACATGCATTGCATGTACACAAAGATGTACATGCATTTACACGCAGATGATGCATGTAATTCTTTGCATAGGAAACTCACATCTCTGTGCCCTTGTGGTCCCTGAATATCCTCTAGGGCCTGGCTCTGCCCCCTTCGCCGCTGATCCTTCCCACGGTTGGGTTTTTTTTTCCTTGCTGTTTCCTTGCCTCTGGATTTCCTTTTTCATTACTTGAAAATCTGACATGCCTGAATTCAAGTCCCCTTTTTCATAACCTTGAGCTTGTTATCTAACCTTTGTTTTCTTTACATTTCTTATCAGGAATGATACTGCACCTGCCTTTATGTTGTTGGGAGAGTTAAGGATAATAATGCATGTTAAGTAACTACCACCAATGAATGTAACAATAGCTCCTTAATTATCCCTCTTCCCTCTTCTTTTCTTTGCAAATAAAAATTAAATTATTAAGAGGTTGTGATGTTCCTTCATTAAGGTAGCTCTATTGGGTAACTTATAAAACTTACAAAGAACAAAGGAAGCTCACAGCTTCATACACGTTTGCTTGGTAGCTGTGTCAGTCTCCAGCAAAGCCTAAGAGTCAGTTCGTGGGGCAACCAATCTGTCAGGGGCACACACAGAGCAGTGGCCAGATTTGGTGGTGGAATCCTGAGGTCACCTGATAGCACTGAAATTTCTTAACTGAGTGCATCAGTATCTACAGATGTGAAGAGTAACAGAGTTTTCCATTTGGGGATAGACTGACTTTTCTTAATTCTCTGTAGCATGATTACACTGTGGTAGTGATGAGGAAGAGGAAAAGAATGATTGTCAAATGGGTAAGGAATGCCTAACCGTTAAGTGTTGTAAAGATGAGTTGCCATTTGCACAGCCTTGCTGACCCTATGTGCGATAGACGAGAGCAATGATGATTCTAAGATTTCATTATTCCCTGGCATTCTGCTCCTAATCACCTCAACCCCTCAGATGCCAGCGGAGCCAAGGTCCTTTACCCAAGACACATATCGCTTTGCAACTGTTAGGGAAGAAACCGATATTTATTCTTCACATGACCTGTTCATTTATTTCTAGATTAGAATAAGCGACAACTTTATGTCCCATCCAGATTCTACCCTCCTCTTCACCCATCTCATGTCTGAGGAGAGCGAGTCCACAGCTGAGGCTCCCTGGCCTCATCAAGCTCTGATGACAGGATATGAAACACTCTTCACTGGGGACAAAAACGAGCTTGGAGGAGCCAGCCCTGGCTGGGGATGCTTCCCGACTCCAGCCTGGCTTCTCCTCCCAGCTTCCAGCTTCTGTCACTCAATTCTTTCTCATCCTCACAGGGAGCAGTAAATCTGCCAGAATGGCTGCCTTGCCTAGCCTACTGTGACTTTTGATTCTGATTTTTTTCCCCTCTAGCACTTAGTTACTCCCTGGTGCCATCAAAGGATAAAAAAAATAGTATTAATTAGAGGGAAAAAAATCATTCCCTGGCAGAGTCAGGAAATGCTGGGCATTGTAACTCTAAGGGTTATGCCATTACCCTTTTGTTAGTCACCTGATCCCCAGGGAAAGGATGCTGGAAGTAAGGGTGATGCCATCTCCAGTGAGATGCTACAAAGTTCTGAATTCTAAGTGATTGCATCATAAAGCCTAGAATGATCGAGATTGTGCTGTCCAGACAACGCCCCGGCACAGGCAAGCCAGGCCTGTGTCTGAGTCCACTGGCCACCAGGCTGACTGCGCTGTCCCTCAGCTGCTGCTGTGGGGTGCTTCGTAGCCAGTGGGGCCCCACGGGATAAGCCAGTGTTTTAAAGCATATTTCCTATTTCCACTGGGGAATAGAATAAGACTGGGGCAAGCCCAGGTAACCATAAAAACATCCTTCCGAAGTCTATGATTCTTTGTCATTTCAGGTTAAAAAGTTAATTGTGTTGGACCCCAAGAAACGGCTAACAACCTTCCAAGCCCTCCAGCACCCGTGGGTCACCGGGAAAGCAGCCAATTTTGTCCACATGGACACTGCTCAGAAGAAGCTCCAGGAATTCAATGCCAGGCGCAAGCTTAAGGCAAGATGGTGCATGACTTGTTTCATTTAATGTTGTAAAGTGGTTCTCTCTTTTCTGAACTGTCAAAGGTGATCCTAGCATCCTTATCTATTATTTATCCTGTGATACTGGAAAATCCTACCGTGAAGTCCCAACAGCATAGCCCCCATGTAGTCTGAAGCTACTTCAGCTTAATCTCTCATAGGATTCCTTGCCATACAGGGGCTACGGTAACTGGGAGTGAGGGGTTATGCCTCGCAGGGGCCAACCTCAGTCTGAACCCCAGCACTCTGGGATCCCATGGTACAGTCCTGGCAGCCTCAAAGTATGGCTGAGGTGGCCCAGGAAACTCCTGGCACTGCAGGCGCCAAGCAACACCATATCCTGTCTTGAACCCTGAGCCCACTAATCTGAGGATCGTAGGTTCTCTGGGCAACACTGGGGCCCCCCACAAAGGGAGTGCGCTATTATCCTGAGATTTAATCACCCAGCAAACACCTTCTCATTGCTTCTCATTGTTAGGAAACTGATATTTATTCGGGACATTTCCATCTTTCTGAATATGTGAAAATTACACATTTAAAAGTATAATTAAAATAATTAATGCAAAAGCCATATTTAGTAATATAGATCAATAGTGACCATACTTGTCAGCATTAATTCAAATGATGCAGAAACTTTTATACCAAATAGATATTTTTTTAATAGGCCTATGTAGAATAGAATTTTGTTTATCTGGCCTCAATAAAAACATCCTTTCCCTGGGGATCAGGTGACTAACAAAAGGGTAGTGTTTAGGCCTAGCACTAAGTGCTTAAGTGCAAGGATAACAGAGAATGTCGAAGGTTCAAAAGAGTGTTCAGGGCCAGAGGATCATAGAGCAGGAAAAACCCACTGATGTAAATAAGCCTTAAAAGTCTCATTGTTAGATTAATTTTAAGTAACCCTGATGAAATAGTTACCTTGGTCTGGCTTTTAAAATAAATTGAACCATTGAACCCATTTATCCCTATCGTAATTCCTATGAACTTCCACAGAGCTATCGTTTCATAAAAACAAATACAAACATTTTTGAGAAGTAGAATCTAAATTTTTTAGACTATGGGTACAACCATGAAAACTTTTTGTTGTCCAGATTAAATGTACTAGTCTGTGAATAAAGAGATCTTGCTATTCATTTTCCAAACAAGGTGTTTTTTGTAGGTTTTTTGGGGGGTGAGGTGGGAGGGCATGTGAGAGGGTCATAAACAATGGTCAGTGGCCCCGAGACCACAGACGTATGTGGCCAATATGGACAAACTGTTAAAGGCCTGGAGGTGCTGGCCGGTGGGCCTGGGGTCATCCGAGGGTCCAGGGCTGTGGCGTGAGTCCCTGCTGGAGCGTCTCCTCCCACCGGCTCTCCTCAGCCCCTGGGAGGGGGACTCTGACACTGGGTTTCCCGGAGCTGACCCCTGCCCCTCTGTCTCCCGTCAGGCGGCGGTGAAGGCCGTGGTGGCCTCCTCCCGGTTGGGCAGTGCCAGCAGCAGTCACAGCAGCGTCCAGGAGAACCAGAAGGCCAGCCCGGAGCCATCTGCCTTCCTCAGCGCCGCCGGGGGAGATGTGGAAGCTCTTCCAGGAGAGAGAGTGCCCGGAGAGGGGGCCTCGGGGGCTCCCGAGGGGGTGGCAGTGCCGCTGGCAGGCGCCGCTGAAGGGGCCAAGGATCCCGCTGAAGGCTCCAGCATGGTGCCCGAGACACCAGAGGACGGGATAAAGGAAGCCGATGCCAACGAAGATGAAGCGGTGGAGGAGGAAGTGGAGGAGGAGGAGGAGGAGGAGGAGGAGGGCCTGGTAACTGTGAGGGCTGTGGAGGAAGCCAAGAGCGAGGAGAAGCCTGCCCTGGGGGCTGGCACCCAGCAGAACGAGGTGGTCCTGCCCGAGGACTGAGCCAAAGTCCTTGGCTAAAACCAAATCTCTGCATTTAATGCATTTTGTCTTTCAGCAAAGAAAGTGTGGAAGCATGATATGCACTGTTGTGATTCTGTTTTGAGGTGCAAAATAATACATATATATCAGTTGGTAATTTAACTTCAATGCATGTGACTGCTTTATGAAAAAAATAGTGTCTTCTGTGGTTTGTTATGGATACTTAATACGATGAGTTAAATTTGAAATTGCAAGTAAACACAAGATAATATTTTAAAAAAAACGTACATTTTCAGGGATCAGTGGCACACATTTGAGGTAAACATGTTTTTGCTTTGTAAACCTTGTTTATCCTCTTTGGATTTCTTCCCAAGGCAGTGATTGCTTTCAACGATTTATCAGCTGATGCTAGGTAAAAGATCTGTTTCCATGAGCAACCACCACAATTTTACTTTTCATTAATGTTTTTATAATTGTTTATAGGAATATGGTTATGGATTATAATTGTATGGTATGTGAAAAACAAATTTCTACTTACAATGACATGAGTTAAAGCATACTGTAAAGGTCATGAAACATTATATCCCTTAAGCTTGTATGGAGAATGCTTTTACAAATTGTGTCTTTATTTAAACATACAATACTACCAGTAGCCAAAAATGTCCTGTCCTAAGATTCTGCCATCTACAGTCCTGGACAAAGATTTTACAAACCCATGCTGAGGAATGTATTCTTTTATTTACCTGCTCTAGCTCATGAGATATCCCTCAGAGAAACGACTATAGCATGAAATGAAGAAAGGTAGGGAAGAAAAGGAGATAAGAATTGGGTTTAAACTAGCAAATATTGGCTTTGCTTCATATTCCAGGAAAAATGAATTTATTCATGAGGTAGCACATTTGAAAGATAGGAACACTTTCATTGATGAGCTCTGCAGTTACCAAGGTTCCAATACTTAGAACATCTAGCTACAACGTGGGCTAGGGACATAATAACTGGGTGCGATGGGAATATTCCATTGTGAGATTATTGTCAACTTTACAAAACTAGAGAAGCAATTTTTTGATAAAAGTTGATGAATATAGCTTGCTAACCAAAGGTGTTTCTGAAAAGCTAGTATAATGTTTTTCATTCTTAAGATGGAAATACCCGAATTTCACAAAGTAGTTTTGAATGTTTTCATGTCAAGAAATGTGGGACTATGTCGCTTTTTATTTATTGTAAGGAAAAAAATATCAAAAGTAAAGAAAAAAATCTCTGAGTTAAAATTAGACTCTTGAGACTGTAACTTTAAGTCAGATATCTCGCTATCATTTTTTAGATTTTTTCTTTATATATATTTCATTATATATATTTCCCTTACAGAAACATTACTAATGTCAATTCCTCAGATGTATTTATAGTTTGAGTTGGAAGGAATCTTATTATGACATATTCCTAGTAGATTTCCTTAATTTTATATTAAAATTTTCCCTTAGAGATAAAAAATTATCATCGAGACAATTAAACTGGAAGCTAGAAATAAATCTCTGGTTTCTGGGGGCTTCTGGACCTCAGGAGCCATTGTTCTTTTTAAATACAAATTTTCCTTTAGAACACTGCAGAGAGGAAAGCTGGGTGGGTTTCTTACCTTCCAGTATAAGGTCTCACACCAACAGACACCAATGAACAAAGGCATGTTGTCAGAACTCAAAGAAACATTAATTTGTGTTTCACATTACTGGTGTTAACTTTGTATTCTATTTTTCTTTATTCCTCCTTTGTGCTCTCTCAGATTTTCTGTTGTTATTATGAAGGGCTCACTATTTCTAACATTAAGCGTGGCTACTTAGCTCATCACCAAAATTTTCAATCAATTTCCTGGTGTGTTTTTTCCAATGAGACTTACTAGGTATACCAAATAAGTATCCCATACAGCAGAAGAAGGAAGAGTGAGGAAGGAATCTTATTATAAGTGGCAGTTAGTTAGGGTATCAGAACATCCCACCCCTCCCAGCCCCTTCTCATGTCTATTCCAGCACAGCCATCACTGCCATGTCCACCTCAGGTCTGGCTGCCCTGTGAATGGAAGTGCCTACACAGAGACCACTTTCAGTTGTTTAGTGGAAACAGGTCAAGTCAAACTTTCACAAAAGTTGGTTCAACCAAAATTTCATAAAAATACAACCCAAGGAGAATAAATAAGTTAGCATTTTTTGAGGAATCAAATACTTATTTTGCTTGTCAAAATGGGATGCATTATCTATCTCAAAATCCCTTATCTAAATAATGCTGTACGATTATAAATAGATCCCTATTGGACAAACTACTTCATAAGATCACCCCAATACAGTGGCAAAACAAAAATACTTCAGAGAACTACTCCATACGGTCACCCCAATATAGTCAAAAACCAAAATATTTTGGAGAATTTCAGCAGATAAATAAATGTTGCATTTTAGAGGTGACATTGCTGGTTTTATTTTGAAAAAAAAGGGGGTACATATATAACTAGATATTTCGCCCTAAAGGTAATTTGCATTATTTGCCTATTTAGAAAGTGTAACTGGGATCTTGTGATTTTTCTCCAACTGTAAGAGTTTATTTACCACACAGATATGATAGGCCTCAAAATAATGTGATAGACGTTATCCAAAATAAGTACTGTCTAATATAAAAAAATGAAAGACACAAGTAAATTTTTTTCATATTACATAAATTTTTTAAATGTGAAAATAATTGTATATTTTAATGAAATATATTAAAGCTATTGGTCCAATACATAATCATTATAAAAAGGAATATGGTATTTTGAATTTAAAAAGTTTTATACTAAATTTTCAAGATCAGGAATACATGTTAACCATTTAATACAGCAAGTGCTCAGTAGCCACATGTGACTAGTGGTTGCTGTGCTAAAGTAACATTACTCTAGAGCAGTGTTTCTCAGCCAGAAGTAATAATACTCTAGAGCAGTGTTTCTTAGCCAGGAGTAACAGTACTCTAGAGCAGTGTTTCTCAGCTGGGAGTCTATGGGACCTCAGGATATTCCAAGGGAGTCAAGGTGACAACATAAATAAGATTCTGGGGCATGAAACTAGGGCTGAGCCAATGGAATGGGATGCCACAGGAAGAAGCCAAGATAGGGAGAAGGTTGCAGAACACTGGTATGGATATTTTTTAAGAAAAATGATGCCTGAACGCCTATGCTTCACTGAGCTCTCTTTTTACTATACTTGGGAACTTGGAGAAAGGCCAGAAGAACATTTCAGAAAATTCATAGACCAAAAGTGAGAACTTTACCGACCACTTGTAAAGTCTTCAAATGCTTTAGAGGACATGGTTCTTAACATGACTTTTAGCAAATAATGCTTTTTTTTGGGTACAGATACAATGTTATTTGGCCATAGTTCCTCTAAAACCTCTCTGAACCTTGGACTCTGATCTTAAGCTGGAGTCTCCTGAGCACTGCCATGGAGCGTGGTGTTCTTCTGTACCCAAATCTACTGTGAGCACCCTGTATTCCAACTCTGCTAGGGAAGAACTGCACATAGCATCTACTAGGGTTCTGGAAACCTGGGCTGGCATGGACACCAACTCTGTCTGTCATAGATAGTATTTCTTCAATTGTACTGAAACACTGAAAATTGGGAAGATTGTATAATGATGGTATCATACTAGTTACTTCCAAAATGTGAATTTGACTGTTGGTCAGCATTTTATTAAATTTCCCTAGAAATATATAATCAACACTGCCATTACTCATAATACTTAAAAAAACTTTTGTAGTTTTAATGCTGTTTTAGAGTACTCTCAAGACGGGTGCAACAGCCATTCTAGGCTAGCATTAAAAGAAGGGATGGTTCACATTTACTATGACCTCATTTACATAACATTTAAAACATTTTGTGATTTAGGATGTTCATTTGGAAATCCATTTTTTCAGTCTCACAGGCTCAAGTTGGTGGCTTAATTTTGTATATGTCTGCCAACCCAAGCAGAGGCTGATTGCTTGCTTACAGAGGTTTGTATTCAGAGAGAGCCATTTTGCTCCATAATCCAGCTTTTCACAAAAACATCTGGCTGCATGTCAAATTGAAAAAAAAAACAGGATAAAATTAATGCACCATTATGCTTTATGATTGTTTTGTAAAGTTGAAAAAAGGTCAACAAAATGAAAAAGCAAAAGGTTATCCTTAAAGGTTGATTCCTCATAATTAACATAAACATACTGAGCAGCACAAGTTTCATAATTACAAGGCCATATTGCATAACTTGTTTGAGAGTGTTCAGCCTGGCTACCTGACTTTTGATGTTTCAAATTTTTCAGACATTTACCTACATAGTAGGATTTTTAATATCTTTGTTATGAGCATCTATAATTGGTCATATTCCTGGTTCCTAAATGATCAGGAATGTTGCTAACATTTAAATGTCTACTGGTTGAATATATATAATCATTTATTGAATAGACTCTATTATGTCATAATTTTTAAACATGTATGCACAGAAAACCTAATGGTATTATAACACGAATAATCACATGATAGGCAGGAGAGCCCGGCAAGCTACCGAGAGTATCTCGCCCGCACGGCAGAGCCTGGCAAGCTACCCGTGACGTATTCGATATGCCAAACACAGTAACAACAAGTCTCATGATGGAGATGTTACTGGGCCTGCTCGAGCAAATCGATGAACAACAGGAGGACCGTGACCGTGACCATGAGGCAGGAATGTACCAATAGTTTCTATAAAATTTTTCAAAGTCTTTTTCATTCCCCTAACAAAACTCAGGGTAAGTTTCTACTACTCAACAAGTAGAAAAAGAGCATTAGTGATATATTAGCTACTTGTTAATAATAATTTAATTCATCATTTAATTTGAATTCACAAAGCCCAACCATTTATATCTTTATCCTGAAGAGTATTAACTAATTCATTTCCTTGTTTAAAATTACAAGTTTCATCAATACTGTGTGGTGTACTTCAGAAAGTTTGGTTGGCCTGACTTTTAGCTTCCTCCATCCTATTTTCTGTCATCT